TCATCAACATCACCATCATCAGAAGCACCAGCATCAGCATAAGCATCGGCGTCATCATCATACACGTTGGCATCATCATCATCATCACCATCATCATCACCATCATCATCATCACCGACGCGGGGCCGCGGCTGGGCGCATGCAGGCTGCTTTGAGCGGCCGTCCCGTAATTTTGCACCTGCCTTGCTGAGGCTGACGCTGCAAGGAGAGTGCCCTATCATCAGCAGCAGCAACAGCAGCATCATCATCGTCGTTGTCATCATCATCACCACCATCATCATCATCATCATCATCATCACCACCATCATCATCATTATCTTTCTTCTCGGTTTCGTTGCCTTCGGGGCGGCCCTCGTCGCCACGGTGGCACGCGGCTTGAAAGCCAGGCCAGGATGGTGCCTTCGAAGGTCGAAGGGCCTTGGTCTGAGCGGATTTCGACCACAGGACACAAAGTGCTTGCAAATTTTGGCGGCGAGCCCAGGGGGGAAATGAGAAGGGGCAGGCCTTCTCAGAAGGTTCAGAAGTCCCCCAGCCTTCTGAGAGGCTTCCTCAGCCTTCTGCGAAGACACAGAACACTTCTCCAAGGCCGGAGGGCTTCTGGGAAGCCCCGCCGCTTTCCGAGAAAGCCTTCTCCTTCTCGCTTCCCCCCCGCGCTCGCCGCCGAAGACTGGTCTTGGCAAGGCTGACCCCGTCGGCCCCAGGCAGGTGGGTGCACGCACTGGTGGCACGGCGGGGGAGGCAGGTGCCGCACACCTCTGCGCGGCATCGGCCTTGCCAGGGCTGGCGCACGGGAATCGAAGTTCGAGGGTCGAGGATACAGGCGTTGGACGCTTTGGGCCCCGTTTGTCACCGAGCGCGTTCCACTACTCGCAAAGTGCCTACTCGCAAACGTCTGAAAAGCACACGTGTGCTTTGATGTAATCTATCGTAGATCCCCCGCGGGGGATCCAGGCCATCTGCGAGTAGTTCCCTTGCGAGTAGCGGAACGCGCTCGTCTAGTTTGGGCCTCCAGAGGCCTCTTCTGAAGGCCCGCAAGGCCAGTGCAGGCGAACAGCGTGCGTCCCCCGAAGCTGCGGCCTGCACACCGGGTCGCGTCCTTTGCCGTCATGCAGGGGAGCGGCGGACCCTGCTCGATGGAACCCTCCATGACATGACCGATACATAAAAGCGACGAGTTTCTTGTCTGCCATATTGATTTGAACCGCGTGACTTCTGATCATCGGGCCGGACGAAAGGGGGCGATTGGGGAAGGAGGGTTACGAAATCTGCTGCATGCGGCTGGTTTCGGCCCCTCCGAAGGGGGCCATTCCTCGATACATGGCCGCCTCCGGCGCCGGGAGGCGCCGGGAAAATCAGCTACGTGAGCTGATTATCAAACTCCCCCTTTGCTATCCCCCCCTTTTCGCCCGGTCCGAGATCAGCAATCCAAACCGAGCTCCAAAACAGATAACGTTTGTTTGCCGTGTTTGCCCATTGTTCGGATGTCACCACAACGCCAAAGCATTGCAGAACGAATGCGCCCAAGAAAAGAAGCACGGTTGAGGTCGAAGTTGGTGAAGAAGAGCTTCCAGCCCGACAGAGCTTCTGGCCGATTGTGGTCGTCTGCCTCGCCGTGGGGTCGGCGACGGTCGCTGGTGTTCTCCATGCCGCGCGAAAGAGGAGCGTTGTGGACGGGGGGAGGGGCGTGCCCGAGGGTGGATAGGAGGGGAAGAGATTGGGGGGGAAACCGAAGAGGGAGGCGTGGGGCGCGAGCGGGGAGGAGACGATGAGATGGCAGCGGGGTGAAGGGGAGCGGAGCGGTGATATGGTCAACACGGAGAGGGGGGGCCACGTGGGTGAGCATGTAGTTGGGGCTCAGGCCGTGTGCTCGCTTGATGTGAGGATGTGTTGGGCCTTGACTTGCTCGATGGCTTGCTTTAGACGTGCAACGCATTGTGAGGACCGAGCTCAAGAAGATTCGGACCATCGGCGTCGGCTCCTACGGTGAGGTGTGGCAGGGCGAGCTGGACGGCAAGCCAGTCGCAGTGAAAGTGCTTAGAGGATTGGGACGGGGTTATTAGCAGGGCAGCGCTTCGACGAGCAACGATATGGTTTCTGCAACTTGTGATTGAGCGGTGTCTTCGGGGAGTGCCATGCCAGAGAGCGGTCCGCAGAGCAATCGGGATCATCTGACGTCTGGGTGCTACCACGTAGTCTGAGCTGGGAGCGCAACACAGACGCATGCTCGGCGATCATTTCGATACGGCATGGTCTCTTCGGACGCCGATGTGGGAGGCTGCATATTTCGTCTGCGCGTCTTTGCGCACGCGCGTGTGCGAGCGTCCAGCCTTGAGCGAGCTCGCGGCCTGGATTCGTCGCCCACGCTTGCATCGCTTGGCGATTCTCCTCGGTGTCCTCCTCAAATTTGAAGCTGCAGAGCTCTCTCACACCCCCTCGGAACTCAAAAGACTGCTCCTTGCTCATTTCTCGCCCCTCCCCCTCCAAAGAGCACGGCCAGCGCCCATGCCCGCGTTTCATCAACTTCCTCACTCCTCCCCGACTGCTGCGGAGGAGAAGGAGGAGAAAAGGGAGCATGAAGAGGAGGGAGCGGTGCAGTCCGCCCGGCCGCGCGAAGCTTGGCTGGGGGCTGGCGCAAGTCCTCGGAGCTCAGCGCCGGCCCCGGGAACGGCCGTTGCTCGGTACCCAGACACCGAGCAAGCATCGGCCATCCCCAGAGGGGAGGAGCTGCGCCAGTTGGGAGCGCCAGGGCGTGCGCGAGGAAGGCCGCCGCCCGCCCGCCGCCGCCCAGCGCCCAGGACCCGCTGCCGCTGGGCGCGAGGAGGCCGCTGGCCGCTCTCCGCGCTAGGCCGGGCCGCCTGGGCGCGGCGCTCGGCAGCTTGCCGCGGGCCCCCGCGCGAGCCGCTGCTCGCCTCTCCGGCGTCGGCAGCAGCCGCCGCAGCCGCCGCGCGCGAGCCCCGCCGCGCCAGCGCGTCGGCCGCGCGGCCTGCCGGTGGGCCCGCCGCCCAGCGCAGGCCGGCCGCCTGGCTGTGGCGCGCCGTGGGCGCCGCTGGGCCGCAGCCCAGGACTTTGCAGGCCCGAGCCAGCTGCCGCGGCTGCTGGTCCTCGGGCAGGCGTCGCACTTCCCCGAGCAGCCAGAGGCGTGCCTCGGCGCCGAGCCGCCCCTTCGCCTCGAGGACGAAGGGCGTCCGCCGATCGCACGGGTAGCAGGCGTGTGTTGCCCCGCTCGCCGCGCCTGTTGGCCTCGCCGTCCCGGCGCGTGGCCACCCGCAGCTCGGCTTGCGTGCCGGTTGCGGGGTGGCGGACGGAGACGTCGAGCCATTGGCCTCGCAGTTTCCCTAGCATTCCAGGTCCAGGATGGCGCGCTCGAGCAGGCCGTCTGGGCGCTGGCGGTCCCAAGTCGGCACCCCATCCGCTCAAGGAGGGGCCCCTCGCCGCGCCAGCAGTGGAGGAGGCCAGCGACCCCCCCGTAGAGTCCGCCACGGCGCTCCCCCGCCCAGCTCGGTCAGGACGCGGTAGCCGCGGTCTTCCAGATCCCTGGCGCAGCCAGCTCCGTCGGCGCCGCGCAAGCAGCAGGCGGCGCCCGCCGTCGCGAGCTCCTGCTGGCTGAGCTCTGCGCGTCGGAGCTGCAGCCGCCGCCGCGCGCGGGTCTGCCAGAGGGCGTCCTCCAGCGCGCGGAGGAAGGGGTACGGAGACGGAGGGGAGCGAGGATTTGGGCTGAGGTGTTGGGTGCTGTGGGGGAGGTCTGTTCCAGTATTCCAGCTTTGGTTTGATGAGCTAGTGCCGCATCTTCCCTTAGCATACCGCAGCGTAATGTTTCCCAGCTTGGCCGTGGCTAGCCTTGATTTGATTAAAGGCGTTATGCCATTGCCTCCCCATTCATGAACTTGGACACATACTTTGATGTCAATGCGCTGGGCCATGTCTTTCGCCGCTGATTGATACCAATTCCCTCACTTTTACATGTCGACATTGTACTCGCTGATCAGGGCACGTGCGGTTAACTTGGGCCATAGAGGGATATTTGTCGCCTCGGATGGGACCAGCTCGAAAAGTTGACCAGGATTGTGTTCCGGAGGTGTCGAAAGTCTTGGATGACAGGGTCGTTTATTTCTGAGAGGCACGCTGATGAGTAATATCCCCGCTGTTCAGCCACAGACTTTCTGGCTGGGCCGGCCAACGCGCGGCGGGGCAGGCAGCGCTAGTGGAGTGGACGTGTCCGAGCTCAGGGAGGAGTTCAAGATGTTGGAGAAGTTCCAGCACGAAAACATCGTGCGTGTCTACGGAGGGGGAAGAACCATTCAGCAAACCAGACGGATTCGGTCCCAGCTCAATGGCGGCGCATTTGGGCCCAAGCTCCTCCAAAGGGCACAGAACTCGGCACAACAATGCGCTCCTCCCATTTCGAAATTGATGGAGAAGTGTAAAGCCAAAAACCGAAGCACCAGTGACAAGTTCTTGTGACTGGAGCTTGTAGACACACCCCATGACGGTTTTGACAAGAATACAGTTGTGCAGCACCTGGGGAGGAGAAGTCTACTAAGGACCCGCGCTGGTCGCGGCTCATCTAGACTCCCCAAGGGCTCAGAGAGAGAAAGGGCTGAGAGAGCCGGAAAGAAAGAAGAAAGCAGTGTGGCGCCCGTCGTCGGTACTTCGAGGCCCTCGTGGGGGCCTCTCAGGGCCGTCCTGGAGACGCCTTGAGTGCCTCTGGGGGCCTCATCGGCCGTTTCGGCAGCCTGTTCGCCAGTGAGGAGGGAAGGGGCAAGGGCGAGGAGGAGAAGGAGAAGGAACGGGAAGGCTGGGAGGAGGAGTTGAGATGGAAGGAGGGATGGAGGCCTGCCACCAACGCATGTGGCTCGCAGGGGTCTTCCAATATTCGTTCACGTTGCCCCATTACTCTCGCCGACGCTGGCTAGTTTGTCAATTGTTAGTGTAGGCGTAGTCGGTGATTCACCTGGCATTTCTTTATGAATGTGCTGGCCTGCTGGGACAAGTATACGACGGGGCGGTCGATGACAGCTTCTGGGGCTCTGCCAATGAAGCGCTTGCCGTTCGCGATCGCAGTTTTTTCCCAGCGCTCGGTCACTGGTCACACGCTCGGTTTGGAGTAACAAATTACGGTCCAGCTGGAATCCTGCTGGAAGTGGCGGATGGCCCCCAGATTCGCTATACGTTGCATGCAGGTCACCATCCAGTATGGCCATTGGCTTTGCTGGGCAATCGCCATTACTGCAGGTGTTGTTGCATATGGTACGGAAAGCTGCTTCTGCTTCTCCACACTGGCTTGCCTACAGGAGTCCTGGCTCAATCCATAGAAAACCGGTCACTGGTCCCCCCTATTTTTCTTTTAAAATCGTCATTATCTCTATGCGCATGGCTGCCTCTGTATCCGCATGGCTTCCTCTGCTGTCCGCATGGCTTCCTCTGCATCCGAATGCATCCCTCTGCTAATCCAATGGCTTTCTGTGGCTCTTCCAATGGCGCCCCAACAATCTTTTACCGATAGTCGAAATTATCCGCATGGCTTCCTGTATCCGCATGGTTTCCTCTGCTACCCACATGGCTTCCTCTGGAAGTGCACGATTGCCTCTGCTATTCCACTGGCTTCTTGAGGCTATTCCAAATATGTCTCGACAATCGTCCACCAATCGTCAAGCTCAGTAAATTTGAGTAGAGCAAATGCGTAGAACATAACATAACAAAGCAGGGTAGAGTAGGGTAGAGCAGAGTAGAGTAGAGGAGAGGAGAGTATAATAAAGCAGAGTGGGTGTAGAGTAGAGTAGAGCATGACTCGAGTAGACTAGAGTAAGGTAGGGTAGGGTAGAGTAGAGTAGGACAGAGTGAAGCAGGGTAGAGTAGAGTAGGGTGGATGGAAGCGTTGAGTCGAGAAGAATAGAGTAAAGTATAGCAGAGTAGAGTGTAGCAGAGGAGAAGAGAGTATCTTAGAGCAGAGTAGGAGTAGAGTAGAGCAGAGTAGCAGAAGTGTAGAGTAGAGTAGAGTAAAGTAGAGTATAATAGAGTAGAGCAGAGTACAGTAGAGTACAGTAGAGTAGGGTAAGGCAGGGTAGGGCAGAGCAAAGTAGAGTAGAGCAGGGCAGATGGTAGAGTAGAGACGGGTATAATAAAGTAGGGTAGATTGGAGTGGAATAGTCTTGTCCACCCCAGTCCAGTCCAGTCGACTTCCAGTCCACTCCCGTCCACTTCATTCCAGTATTATAATATATTTAGAGCTCGCGCTGGCTAGTATGACAGCGACACCTTCTGGCAGGGAAAAGGAGGAGGCGGAGAAGGAGGAGGCGGAGTAGGTGATTCCGTCCTCACCCTCACCCATCGTTGCGCTCTTCCCCAAGACGCACTCGGGGGGGGGGCGTGCAAAAGGGTCGATGTGTGGGGGGCCGCTTTCGATGGAAACCTTCAGGGAAAGATCAAGGACAATCGCTGTGTGAAGAGGCTAACGCATCAGGGGAACGGAAGTGGTGCGAAGAGTTACTTTCAAGGTGGAACATAGTACACAATGAGCTGGGTGCTGAGAGGTCACCAGTGGAGGGGGAGGGACATCTTCGTTCGCAGTGTTGCATGCGAGTCTGCCGCTGTTGAGGTCATCGACTTCAGGGAACATCCGCCATCGCTCGTCATGGACTCGGGGCATGGGCATGGAATGAGGCAAATGGAAGGTGGACAGTAGCAGCAGAACATGGGGATCATCTCATTGCCCTCCTCATCGGGTTTCTCCTCTGCCTTGGGGCCCGCCGACAAACCTTGGCTCTGAGGCGTGTGGCTGCAGTCTTGTCCTCCCAGCGCATACGTCATATTCCCATGTCCTGCCTCCGGTTGCCCCTCGTCGGCGGCTGGGCAGAGTGACTGCGCTGGCGGAAGAGCATTGGTGGGGCATACGAATGCGAACTTAGCCGCAATGCACGGGGGAGAGAGGAGGAACGCCCGGCAGCGGCGGGGTGGCGCCAGGGGCGGGGGCCAGCAGCAGCGGGGCGG